TGGGTAGAGTGCTGTGGCGTCACAGCTCACAGCAACCTCCAACTCCTGGGCTCAAGCAATTCTCCTGCCTCTGCCTCCCTAGTAGCTGGGATTACAGGTGCCCACCACAACACCCAGCTATTTTTTGTTTGCAGCAGTCATTGTTGTTTGGCGGGCCCAGGCTGGATTCAAACCCGCCAACTCAGGTGTATGTGGCACCTTAGCTGCTTGAGCCACAGGCACCAAGCCTATCTTTCGTTCTTGATTCTAGCCTCCTGCTCAATTCTTGATCAATTACTCCTGATAACCCTTATTTCTCTACATTGACTTACTTCAAATGTAGATATGCACACACAACCCACCCTGCTACTATAATGCTTTTGCATGTATGGTTTGAGTATTTTTAATCTAAACACATCCAACATTCACAATGCTCTAAAATCCCAAATTTTTTGGCCACCAACAGATGCCCACAGGAAATGCTCACAGGACCATTTTGGATATCAGATTTGGGATAAGGGATACTTACACTGTAAGAGACTTTCCCTAGAGGTTGACCTCATAGAGGAGGATTCTTACACAAACCAAGAAATAACTTGTAAAAATTTACGACCAGGTATTCACTTGGATGAAGGTGGAACACATTCTTCTTATTAAAACATCACAAGAATGGAGAAGCAAGAATCCAATGTACTCAGTTCTAATACGAAGGCAGCAGATGAGCTAATCAAGGGGTGGGGAGGAGGAACGAGGGACTGAGGAGAGGGGAGGCAGGAAGGAGATGGGGGGGTCATGGTATACTGCACACTTCTTGGGGGGCAGAACACAATTACAAGAGAAACTTTACCTAACAACCACAATCAGTGTAAACTAATTCTTTGTACACTCAATGAATCCCAAACAATAAAAAAAAATTCTTCCTAACCATGATCATGATATGTTTTTCCGTTTGTTGACATCTTCGGGTATTTCTTTTCTCAGTGTTTCATAGGAAAAAGTATCCAATATACTCAGTACTCCTAATGAAACCTACTTATACTTACTCACACATTCTTGTAAAAAATAGAACACAACTATAGCCCAGGATGATGGAGAGAAATGGAGTGGGAGGGGAGGGGAGGGGGAAGGTTCGACAGAGGGAGGGTAAAAGGCGGGATCACACCTATGGAACATATGACAGGGTACAAGTCAAATCTGTGAAATGTAGAACATAGATGTTTTGGCACAATAATCAAGTAATTGAGGTGAAAGCTATGTTGATTGGTTAAATGTAACCACGTTAGATTGTAAAAAAAAAATCAGCATATTGTACCCCACATATGCATGAATATATTCATGATCTATGTGTATTTGACTTAATAAAAAAAATTATGATCAGACATCAATTCCTATCATAGGCGTATTCCAGTACTGGTCAGCTGCCACCACCCTGCAGCCCATTCTCTCATTAATGTTCTTCCAATGATTTGTGGTCCCAATTCTTGTATCTTTGGCTGGAGGAAAATCCAAAATAATGTTCTCTTATATAGTAGATCAATTTACCTCCTTTTTGTTTAAAACCTTCCCTCAGTTTAGCGCCTTTCTTTAGTAACTGAAAGGCTAATTAACATATTTCCTTCAACAAACCAGCTGCCTTTTCTTTTTTCCCACCTTGACCACAGAAACAGCTGCAGTTATTTAAAGCAAGTCTCTTTTCTTTTATAAAATACCATTGGCCAAGTTTGAATGGATTTCTGAAAAGGGAGGTATGACAAGAAACACAACTATTGATAAATGATTTTGTCTTCTAAAGAACTGCATGAACATCTTTTCTCAATGTTATTTTCATTATTTTACTTTGAAGTAATAGAATCTTGTTAAATTTCATCTTGTCAGCAAAGTGGCACTGAGGTGCTTTAAGAAACCAAATCAAGCTCACAGCCCCATTCCATAAAGAGGAAAAGAAGGGTACATTGAAATATTGATAGTAAATACAAAAATGTGGAACAATTTTCAACGTTAATCCTATGTGCTTTTTTCCCCCCAAATATAAACATAATAATGTTTGATTTCACACCTCAAACTATTTTCTTTGGGTTTCTGTATTTAAAAAAATACAATAGAACCTCCACAGTTGACTACTCCTTAAGTTGACCTAATTTTCATAGACTGGACATGCCCTACAATTATTCAATGTCAGTTCCTACTGTTTTTTAAATTTTTTTAATTAAATCATAAGTACATCGATCATATATACATTAATGTATTTATGGGGTACAATGTGCTGATTTCATATAGAATTAGGGACGCTTACATCACACTGGTTAATATATACCTCATCTCGTTTACTTAGTTATCGTGTTAAGACATTTATACTCTATACTAATAGATCCAACATGTACTCCTGCATTATTCACCATGGGTAACATGCCGTGACATCACAGCTCAAAGCAACCTCAAACTCTTGGGCTCAAGTGATTCTCTTGCCTCAGCCTCCCAAGTAGCTGGGACTACAGGTGCCCACCACAACACCCGGCTATGTTTGTTGTTGTTGTTGCAGTTGTCATTGTTGCTTAGCAGGCCTGGGCCGGGTTCAAACCTGCCACCCTAGGTATATGTGGCCGGTGCCCTTGCCGATTGAGCTATAGGTGGCGCCACTCCTATGGGCTTTTAAGATTAATTTGACGTTTAGGGCAGGCCAGAAATATACTGGTGTCAAAGTCAGGACTGTTTACTGCTTAAGGAAAGCACAGCACCCTAATTATTTAGAGGACAAAAGTAATAGTTTCAACATCAATTCTGTTTAAAAAAAATTGGTCCTGATTACATGGTTGCCTATAATTAGAGCTATAAGCTTTCAAATCAAATTATATTAAAGAATTTACTTCTCATAAAAAAGGAAGTTTTATTTCCTTCTGTGATAATACAACAGGGAGGACTACAAAAAATGATTTTGAAACCTCTCTCTTCTTCCTTGATCATACTTAAGAAGACTGTGTGAAACTGATAATACTTCTAAGTAGGAACCAAACAACATATCTTAAGAGAGTTTTTGTTTATAATAATCCTTCTACAGCACACCGTGGAAAGTCCTGCCAGTTCATTTTCAAATGTCACCACAGAGAAAATGGTTGGGAAAGAAAAAGCCTGATTTGCTACCAATAGGCATAGAAAATGCATTTCCACCCCTCACCCCCCCCCCCACAAATAGGTACCATCATTGCTACTAAAGAAAAGCAAAGGAAAAGTGAGAAAAACAACATAACAACTGCACTCACAAATCAGAAGCTGGAAAGAAGTTAACAGGAAAACAACTAAGGAGAATCTCTTGGCAAATCTGTAACTGACCCTTCTCTATCAACATAAATATTCTGTCTTCCTTTACTGAACACCACCCCCAGCATCCCTCCCAGAAGCTGTATCTCACAGGAAGATCGAATAGGAAGTTTTAAATGTTTCCAGTTAATTGTAACAATTCTAATTTTTCCTCTGGTTTGTAGAATGACAAAAAGTATTCTCTGCTCAACCACTGACTTTTTTTTTTGTTTTGAGACAAAGTCTCACTTTGTCACCCTCAGTAGAGTGCCCTGACACCATAGTTCACTGCAACTCTTGGGCTTAAGTGATTCTCTTGCCTCAGACTTTGGAGTAGCCTGCCACAATGCCTACCTATTTTTTGAGATAGGATATTGCTCTTATTCAGGTTAGTCTCAAAACTGTGAGCTCAGGGCAATCCACCCGCCTCGGCCCCTCAGAGCGCTAGGATCATAGGCATGAGCCACCCCACCCAGCCTTCAACCATTAAATATTTTATTTTTTAATTAATTAATTTATTTTTTTTGAGACAGAGCCTCAAGCTGTCACCCTGGGTAGAGTAATGTGGCATCACGACTCATAGCAACCTCCAACTCCTGGGCTTAAGCGATTCTCTTGCCTTAGCCTCCCAAGTAGCTAGGAACACAGGCGCCCGCCACAATGCCCAGCTATTTTTTGGTTGTAGTTGTCATTGTTTGGCGGACCTGGGCTGGATTCGATACTGCCAGCTCTGGTGTATGTGGCTGGCACCTTAGCTCCTTGAGCTACAGGCACTGAGCCAACCACTGAGTATTTTAGAGACTGCCACTTGCCCCACACAAGACCAGCAATATCTAATTTTCACAATCTTTGTTACCACCAATCCTCACTTATTCTGAACCTTTAAGAATAAAACCTGAAAGCCATAATTGGAATCTCATCACTTATTTTTTTTTGTATTTTATCTCTTATTCTACATACATGCGGAGTTTCGTACTATAATTTCTGTTCATTTCATGATCATATATTCATATCTTTTCTTGTGCAACTTTAAACATTGCATGAACCTAACTTACTATCTCTCTGCACTAGATAGTGATCACAGCTGAATGCAGAGGGTAGACTTTAGAAAAAGAAAATGCCACATATATACCATTTAAAGACAACCTCGAAGATGTAAGGACTGTTTCTAGTTTAAGATTAAAAGCAGAATTTGATTGTAAGTCTCCCTATATATATTGCCCACTGCCAGAATGCTTCAAGACAAAACTGTCTGATATACTGAAGGCTATTGGCCTAGGCAAGGTGCTAAATGAGAATTTGAATTTGACACAAGGGATTGTTCTTGTTAAATGACCCGTTAGATGCAGGGCATACAATAAAACAAGGCAAATGCTCTTCTTTTGGTTGTAAAATATTATTTCTGTCCTTTGAATCTTATTTTAAAGAAGTACAATAATTGCTCAATACATGAAGAGGCTCATTTCACAGAGTTTCAGTTAATCGTGCGCTACATATAGCTAGCTCTTCAAGTACATTCTCTATCCTCAGCATGAAGTCACTGTCCTTGAAAAGATCTCAAAAAATGAAGATATTGAAATGGGAAAAATTCACTTTAGACACTGAAGGTTTTAACTAGTGAATTAATACAAATAATGCCACACTTTTTGAAGTGAACAAGCACTTACAAAAGCTACCTGCCCCTGATAAAATCAAAGTATGATACATTGATGTTGCCAAGAAGATTTCTTATTCAATGCCCTACTCTACTTTTTAAACCTTCTTACTGTTTGTTGACTATTTGGTACAGTCAAACCAAGAATTTAGAAGAGATGTTTCTTTCCCTAAGTCTTTATGTTTAATACTATCATCCAAAAGTACAAGCAATTCCTTAGAATCCAAATATAACAAAAAACTACTGGGATAAAACAATTTGCAAGAATATTCTTCAAGATTTTGGTGTCCTATGGTAATTT